TTCCCCTGCCTCCACCACCTCAGCTATCAGTATGCCTTTTAATGCTGGATCAGCATTTTACACCTGTCTTGCAACAGAAAGGACTGTAGCCTAATGTTAGTGTTCTAAAAAATCTTAAACCTCAGGAAGAGAGGAGGCAAGAGTGATACAAATATTTTGGCTCAGTGAATTTCAGTTCTTTGACCTTTCAGTGCATGGAAGAAAATTAAAATGACACTTGCAGAGATACCTAAGCTCATTGCTTAGGTTCTAGATTTTTAACTGGTCCATTTAGATAGATGAAAGCTTGGTCCAAAGTAACTCTCCTGCGTCGTATTCCTGGATGGCGTGAAACTTGATAGTCCAGTTTGTATTTGTGTACCTCTTGTTTTTTTTAATGTTTACGTATTCGCATGGAGTTAGTTTCATTTCATGCAAGTATTGCATATATTGAAAGTCCCAGAAGATAAAAAAATGTAAAACCAAAACCCACCTAGTTAAAGAAACCTGTTTGAAACCTCAGTGAGTAATGGGTTTGTGTGTGAAGAAGGAGGAAGCATATTGTACTAGAAAAAGCGTGGGGGTTTTTGGTGTGGGGTTTTCAAAAATCGAGTTTACATGTTAGCCATATGCTTCACAAAGGATTACAACTTACAGCTGAAGCAGTCTAAAAAACTTCAAAAATTTAACTTTTTAATTTTTTTTAGATGTCTTGGCAGCTTTTGAGATAGGGTTGTTTTTTTCTTTGAAGCTAACAATTTTTCTTTCTTATTTAATTACAAGGATGAGGAAGATTCTTTTGTGATAAAAGCTATTATTCATGCCATCAACGATGACAATGTTCCTGGATTACAGCACCTTCTGGGATCTCTGACAAATTATGATGTCAATCAACCCAACAAGGTACTGTGGGTCTGTGTTGAGGTGCGTGGGGGACTAGCTATCACCCTGTTGAATAGAGCAACGTGGTTGTAAAATAGAAATGTAACACCCGAAATGAAAAGACAAGAATATGGGAAATAATCACAGAATCACAGAATCACAGAATCACAGAATCACAGAATCACAGAATCACAGAATCACAGAATCACAGAATCACAGAACGTTAGGGACTGGAAGGGACCTCAAAAGATCATCTAGTCCAATCCCCCTGCCGGAGCAGGAACGCCTAGATGAGGTTGCACAGGAAGGCGTCCAGGCGGGTTTTGAATGTCTCCAGAGAAGGAGACTCCACAACCTCTCTGGGCAGCCTGTTCCAGAGCTCTGTCACCCTCACTGAGAAGAAGTTTCTTCTCAAATTTAAGTGGAACCTCCTGTGTTCCAGCTTGTGCCCATTACCTCTTGTCCTATCATTCTATATATTCATTCATTCAGTCCTATAATTCTGCCTTGCTTTAGGAGAAATTTTAATGTGATCTGTGTTCAGTCTTCTCAGACTACCTTTAAATGGAGCTCAAAATGTTGGAGTTTTTTTGCCTAGGCCTTTGAAAAAGTGTTAGTCAAATCTGTTTTCAAGACCTGTGGTACATCAGATATTAACCCTTGCTTTTGTTCGCAGTTGTTTCTTGTGACAGATGAAGATGGTAGAATAGGTAGGAATAACCAGACTGCCAGAACTGATTTTGCAAAGCACTGTTAGAAACAAAAGTCCCATACTTCAGAAACTGGTTATGTGACTATAATGTTAGATTGTGGTGTTTGTTTTCAGAACCTGGTACAGTATTTCAGTGTGCTGCTGCTGTACTAACAGGAGTATTGGAGCTCAGACCAAGAGACCAAACTTTTGTTGTTGACTCTGCTGTTTAACCGTGGCTAAATATCTCTGCTCTAATTTTCACTTTTTTGAATTATTATATTAACCTTCATTATAAAGTACTTGCAGAAATATTAATGAAGAGCACTATAAAAGTAAAGCACCTGTTAATTTACTGTGATGGGGTCTTGAACCTTTCAAGAAATCACTGTATTTTTTTTCTTGTTGTTTTAATGGTGCAGTCCTATTTAACTTTCCCATATGTTGCTGGTGGCTTGTCTTTGAGGTGATGTGGCAAACATCTTTGGTAATCTCCCTTTTAAAATGTAGATATAAAGAAGTTGCAAAGGGGAACATCCTTGCCAAATGGAGCTAATGAGAGTTTAACATTCATATTCCTAATTTGAAAAGCATACCTTTAATGTGTAGTGTATCATCTTGTAAATATGAATTAATCTCAAAAGTATGAAAGATTGCTGTGCAAATTGCTGGACAGTTATTTTCTGTACAGTATTCCCTGAAGACTTAATTTGTAACTGGAAATCCAGAAATGCCATTCAGTGCCTGCCTTCTGTTCCATTGTCTTTTCTTAATAATGCAAAAATTAAATATATCATTCTTGCTTGTATTTCACTGTTAGCATGGAACACCTCCACTACTGATTGCTGCTGGCTGTGGAAACATCCAGATGCTTCAGTTGCTTTTAAAGCGTGGATCCCGTATTGATGTTCAAGATAAGGTCAGGGTTCTGCTTTGTCATTGCTCTGTATAAGTTCTTCAGTACAGTTAGCGGAGGACAAGTAGTTCAGACCAAGTTGTACTGAAAATGAAAAAATCTGGGCTGTAGAGCCTGTATTCTGTCTTCCACAGCAAAAAGATAAAAGCAAGTTTTAAATTCCATTTATTACTAGTGCATATCCTCTGATTTTGATCACTTTATTAGATGAAGTAATTTGAATGATACTGCTCTTAAAATGTAGTTTGTGCTTACAAAATTGCCCCAATTAGTTCAAATTAGTGACTGCCCTAAAATGCAGTGGTGAACTTGATTTAATGTGGAATTATAAATGCACATTTTTAGCGATGGGGAATATCACAACTCAGACTCGTGTGATGGAGGGTATGTAACAAGGGTTTTTTCCAAATGCATTGTAATGATCTGGGTTCATGTAAAGCAAACTTGAAGCACTATCTGCGTCTCTATCTAACAGATGGTAAAGTAAGCAGTGGGAAGTTTTTTCTCTCATCTGTTCTTTCCAAAATACTTCTTTAGAAGGGGGAAGAGGATTATCCTTGCAAACAGCTAGTGATCCTGTTAATCATCTTTGCATTAAGGGGTTTTTGTTGTCATTGTTCGTATGTAGGGTTGTTGAGCGGATTTGAAGGTTTTTTAAAAATAAAGTAAATATGTTCATATAAACTTGAATAGCAGTTCAGTCTATCTGTGTACATCTAAGTGCATGTATACCTAAACTGAAAATCTAGAATTGGGATTCTAAATTGATCAATAACATTTATAACCAAATATTTTTGTCAGGCTGGATCTAATGCAATCTATTGGGCATCTCGACATGGTCATGTAGAAACGCTGAAATTTCTGAATGATAATAAATGTCCTTTGGATGTTAAGGATAAGGTAAGAAAAAGAATTCTATGTATTTTTCATGCAGAGAGCTTTTTGTAATTTTATCTTAGCAGAGAGGTCTTTCAGTTGGAATGATTTTCAGCTGTGCCATAATTCCAAGAATGTGACTGGGTTGTTTAGTGTGTTTTTATAAGCTGACATCTAGGGCTGTGATAACACAGCTTTAAAGTAGCTGGATGTACCGATTACTTTCCTGACAAATGTTAACCAAGCATGCATATTAAATGTGGTGAGTACATGGTGGGTAGGTGGGAAAGTACAAGCCTAAATTAATTCTCCCTTGAAGACTGGATTTCACATTGGAACTCAGGTTAAAATCGTGATTCTGTTTTTCATTCCTCTTGATTGAAAATCACTTTTGTCTGACAAGTAAATTTGACTGTTATTAAGTAGTGTATAATGAAGCCTAACAATTCATAGCTGATGAGCACTTACCATGTCACCGGCCATGTTACTTGAGCAACATTTGTCGTAGAAACTAGTTGTTGTTGAAGTCTTATACCATAGCAATGTTTTTAGACTAGCCAAAGCATAGAGGCAGTTATACTTGTGAAACACAGTTTGCTTTGTTGAGGAAAGTAGTGCAAGGCAAGGCACATGAGCAAAATGATTGTTCAACTCCTAGTAGGTCTAACTCAGAAAGGCATTGTTCTTTTAATAAAAATACCATTTCTTTTTCATACAATCTCAACAAAAAGTTGCAAATAGTTTCATGTAATGACTGAAATACACCAGGATTTACCAAAGTGTTAGGGCAGCACTTTGTATATGCAGAGCAGAAAAGGAGGCGTATGGGAATATTGGGTTGGCCAAAAAGTAATTGCGTATTTTTTAATAGATGGACATATGTGTCTTAAAATCTAACTAACTTCATTTTAAACTGCAAATTCATTATGTAATTTCACAGCTGACAGTTCATACTTGTTTTAGAAAAGGAAAGTGCATGATTTCATTATCAATTATTTATTTGGTGTTGATTTCAAAATGGAAAATCAAAGAATATTTTTGTCATGTTTTGCTGTATTACTTCAAAAAAGGAAATGATGCTGTGCAAGCTCATAAAAACTTATGTCTGTGGTGAAGATGCCTTAAAACTATGGCAGTGTCAGAGTTGGTTTGCAAAATTTTGATCTGAAGATTTTGATTATAGAGATGCACCACACTCAGGAAGGCAAGTCAAAGTTGATAATGAC